TTCCCCTGAGTCAGGAATATCTTCCCGTTGTCTCGCTGCATCCAACCGACAAACGGATAGCAAGCCGCTAACCTGCGAACAGTAAGAGCAGCACGGTGCTCCGGTGTGGTCAAGGCAGAACGGACGAGAGATATGGTTACACTGTCGCCTGCGAGCAATCTTCAGCCAACCGATAGCTTATTATCCAGAGTGATAACGAGCATGCGGTGTAAACCTAAAAAATGAACCGGGCTTATTGCATCTGAGAAACTTGCGCTGATCAACTACCTATGTAGCGGCTCCTATTTTCAAACCAAGCAGTCGACATCACGGTCGTATAAACGTTTGTAGTCGCTTCCATCCTTGTCTCTTCCAATCGGCCGTTTGATGACGAGTTCGCTAAAAGGCAGACAGGTTATCGACGACAAGAAAAACGTACCAGGTCCCGTTAAATGTTAGGTACAATTCAGTCGGCAGCCTGCCATTCATGCCCACTGATTTCACATCCAGAAAGTTAGTCCTGCTCCCGTTTATTGTGACCATAGACTGAACATGAGCTTATCGTAGAAATCGACTGATGTTATCAGGTAGCCGGAAGGCACATGATCCGTTGCGGCACTCTACGCCTACACGCCTACTTTCCTCGTTTTGGGCAATCAAGTCGGTGCCTCGATTTTGAACGCAGTAGCTCATTTATTGACGCAATGACTGAAACGCCGATCGAGCTTATCCGCAATCTTATACAGATATTTTTGCTTGAATAAATAGTAAACAATTTAGTCGCCATTGGTCTCAGTTAAACAGTACGAAAGACATCATCCACCGATTTTTATATTTCTGAGCCATTGTTATGAAAATGCATCCCACTAGGTTTAAGTTTTCGACATCGACATCTATCAATAATCATTTTAAATACACTTTTGGATCTGGATCTGAAGTAGAGCCTTATGATGTCACTGCCTCAAAGCAATTAACTCTCCCTCATAAACATACCTTTAGAGTAGTCCCCTATTGAAAGACAGATGGCACGATGCACTGATTTTCGCTGCCTCTAATCGTCTTTTGCCCGGACGGCATGCACTGAGAGCCATTTTCCGATTTAATGACGTCGATCGACTTCAACCTTAACGCTAGCGTTATGGGACTACCATTTTATTCCATTCGGCTTGCTTAAATACTCGTTCAGTTCGTGCTATGCCCTGTTCACAGGTTCAATGGTGATGTGCTGGCACAGTGTCTGGTAAAAGGTCTGCTTCGAACTGCAGAGGTTGCCGGTTCGATTCTGCTCGAGGGCAAACTTATCGAATTTGCCACACCTGACTTCAGGACGGGGTTTTTAGACGGTAAAGTGTCGAACTCAGCACCGAGAGGACCTGAGTTGAAGCACCGGTCGGGGTCACTCGCCCTATTTCTTTCCAAGATTGATAAATGATTACCACCCCGTGGGAAAGAAACAGGAGACTATACGTTGCGCTTGCCGCATGAGTGTAAACTTTGCCTTTACAAAAAAAAGGTAGCATAAGTTTTATGAAAAATGGCGCCAAAGTCACCCAATCATGAAAGTTACGGAGAAGTGACATTCTCATGCTGACAAACTTTCCTTTCCTTTCTTATATCCTGTTCAAAAGCCTCGATGGCTTCATCCATTATTTCGTGAACCATTGTGGAGTTTGTTCACATACCTTCCATATCATTAACTCAGCATTGTTTTAGAGGGTACCTATGCTGATGTCTACACCAGATTGTCGAGCTTCTTTCACTTTCATGATTGGACCACTATGGCTCCCTTCTTTATATGAAGTTTCAGTTACATTTCATGAAGGGTACCCATGTAGTACAGTTTTATAATGCTACCCCTCTGTCCAAATATTCTTTTTTGCGCGTGTAGTGCTAAAGTAATAATGTTCAAAAGCGCACGCACAGCAAAATGCACTACATCTTGTTAGTTTCCCTCATCCTCATGGCCCCTCATGCCGTTCAGTTAAGTGCGACAATCCGAAAGTTGCTTAAATTCTTCATCGAATCGTACACCTAAGGCGTGCCTTGTTGGAATAAAAATTTATGTTTGAACCAAACTGCGCACATCATTAATTTGAAGGAATGAACGAAACTCTGCTGCTTGAGTGGAATCGCCAAAGAATTGCATTTTTCAATAAAAAACAATAAATCAGTCTAAATATCACAAAACGGAATTGCAGCAGCACGCTTAGAGGTACCGAAAAGACCCAGCGAACAAACGAGCCGTGTACCGCAGGAAGAACCACTACAAAACCATTAAACAAGGTTAATCAAGACAAACTAGAAGAAGACCATGTCGCATTGAGCAAATCCAAGCAATATTCCTGCTCAACATCAGTGGCACTTCGTAGCACGTGCAATGCAGCTGCGATTACGGATCTTTGCTGTTGGTGTCACTGTCATCAAGGGTATCAAGGTCAAGGGCAGAGTACCTCGATTAATGGCTGTTTGATAAAGTTGCCTTGTGGCAAAAAAAACCGTCGCCTTTAAAACATCTCGATTTAGTCGAAGAAATTTGTGACAAATGCTCCCAGTTGATGAACATAATTTAGAATCTTGTAACCAACACGAATGTCATGAGACCGATAAATCATCGACGTGCTTCAATCATATATATGAGGACCTTATCTGAGCCTCATTTACTGAAACAGTCACCAAATTGTGCAAAGTATTGCAATTACATTACATGCCACACTGGATATCTTTTGCCCTTTCGATGATTCGCCTAACGGAGAGTAAAGCATTTTTAGTTTCCCTGTCCTTCGTTACCTATTGACTACTCGCTCCACTGTAGGTTTGCACTTCACCCCCTTCTTAAACAATTTTTATCCGCAGAAAGATCATTAATAACACGTAATCACAGAGGAAGATAAAATTCAATGCGAAGATACAATGGAAGGGACAAGGAATGCCCTTACTCTCCAAAAATGTTCCTTCAGTTCGACCTAACTAACGCATGTGTTCGATCTTTTAACCTGTGCTCGCATTAGACAAACTTATGAACGACATGAATGCATAAAATCGAACTGCACATGCATGTACGTTGTAGTGGCCCCGGTTTGCGGATCATTCTTGAAAAGAATTAGCTGAATCCTCTGTTTTTCTTTAAATTACCGTGAAAGGAAGATCGAACAGTCGATTCGTGAAGTGAACGCGTCG